CTTTCCAACCATGAGCCTTGTGAAGCAAAGTTTCCAAACCTCTGTTAAGCCAGAAAATGGAAAGCCGTGTCTGAGTTTTGAGAGTAAATAAATAGAGCTACCTAGCAGCTCTGGGGTGGCAAGTGAGGGGTTTGCTTGGGGCACATTGTCTCCTAGCCACAAGCCCCAGGGAGGAAGATGAGGGTTTGTAACTACTGTCTTCTGGTAAAATCTTCTGTGACAGGATTTGGAGTGAGCTTGGGTGACTTTTAGCATGAGTACTGGAGCATTGTTTCAGCTGGCTGCTTTTTATTTTTTTCTTTAAAGAAAGTTGCATGGTGGCAGAGCCCAGTGAACCTCCCATCCCCTTGCGGCCTCCCAGCTCTGGGAGGGCTGTGTGGCTGTCGCAAAACTCGGGGCTTTGCCCCACCATAAATTAATTAGTTTTTGTGCCCTGTTTATTTACAGACTAAGCTGGCTTGTCCCTGCATTTGCTCATCACAGACAGGCTTGGGAGTCTCCTGTGAAATTTATTTGGTTTATGACAGCCGTTAAAGTCTGTAAACTGTTTTGAGGCACATGTACAGAAATAGCTATTTTCTCAACTCCCTTTGGGGAAGCTGAAAGACTGGTGTTGAACAATAGTTTGCATTGTCCTGACAAAGTGACTTGCATTTTTGGGGAGACTGTAGAAAACAACAGAAATTGTTTACCTGCTTAGCTTTTTATTGTTCTATATCTTAACCCTGACCTCACCTGAATGGAGCAGAATCTATTTGTGCTCATATCTGAGAGCAGCAAGCTCTGGGTGAGCTCATCAAAACCAGTGGAGGATTCAGTAAATCAATGTAGCCAAGCAAGAAAAGAGGCAAGGATAGTTATGATTGGGATACATTTAACCTAAAGATGGCTCACCTATAACTTTATTCATCCATCCATGGATGTGACCTAAAGGTTAGACCCATATAGTTGGTGAATAATTAACATTTTTGTAGATAATGGTAGAAACTTGGATGTTGAGGTGGGAAGGCAAATAACTAGTGCTTATGGCCTGAAGTAACATTTCAGTAAGCTTTTCTCTTACTTCTGTTCTGTGCAGTCCTTTCCAGTTTCCAAGGGCATTGAATTCAGGTCATGTTTGTTAAACACTGGCTGTGGTGAAGAGTGCTCTAGAAGTGCTTAATACTTTGTATCATGTTCTGAAATCTGTGCCCTTCTACTAAAATCTTTCCTATTTCCATCTTTTGACTTGTGATATCCCATACTAAGATTTGGGAAATGTTTGTGCTATTTCACATACATTCATGAACACATAAATGCACATATGCATATATACACATATGAAGTGTTTTGATACTGTAGATGTACGTGTTGCAAGACTCGCTTTGGGAGAGTGAATTGGAGAACTCAAATCAGAGTTGTCATGAATAGACTTCAGGTTTCTTAAAATAAACTGTTCCATTGCAACCTTTTTTACATGAGGCCTGCCCGCACGCTTGTTTACTACAGTGAGAGTATCAGATAGAAATGGTATAATAGGACTAAACCCCCTCTCCTTCTAGGAGGCTGCAGAATAAGTCAAACCTGCACTGAAACTGCTGCCTCTGTGCTGCCACCTCAGTATTTCGCTATTCTTGTTCCTCTTAATGCTGACTGAGCAGCTTCTTTTACTTCTTTTTGTAGGTTGGTGGTTTGTGAGCACAGCAGAGGAGCAGGGCTGGGTCCCTGCTACATACCTGGAATCCCAAAGTGGAACCAGAGATGACTCTGACATCAACACATCCAAACTTGGGGAAGGTATGGAAACCTTTTTGTTATCAAAGGGAAACTGGTATTTACTTGCTTTGTGCTTTTCTCCCCTTAGGAAAACTTTGAAAACTCTTGCTGCCACATGTGGCTGTTAATCCTGTGCAGTAACCTCTTCTCCCCTCTTGTATCAGTAAATTGTTGCAGAAGAAATTAGAGTGTAGTCCCTTTGTGACCAGCTTGAGCTGTCAGTGTGACAAAGGGTTCAAAAGCTGAAATGATGCTCATTTTAATAACCTTAAAAAGCATGCAAACAACTTATGTGCAAGCCCAAGCAGTACAATTTGGTAGAGGTTTTGGACTCTTTATGTCCACAGAAGGAGAGAACTTACGTGGCTTGTTTGCAGAAATTATACAAGTGAGAGCTTTTAATTGGAGGAAGATGCTTGTTATAGCCACAGGCTACTAAAAGGAGTGAGATTTAACTTTAATACTTCTTCTCATTACAATTTGCTTCTCATTACAATTTGTTTTAATTAATCCGTGAAACTAGTTTCACTGCTGTTTGTGGTCTGTGATTGTGTGGAAAGGTAATTTTATTTGGTGTGGTCTCATTCTGTTAAAACTGAGATGCCATTTGTCATATATATATATGTATTCAGCTGTGCTGTTTTTTGGCTAAAGATGCTTAATTCAGGTTCCAGAAACAGAATAGTACAATCTCACATGTTCCTCTGTTCCATTATGAAAGACTAACCACATCTTAATGGACTTCTCATGTAGCAACTGTGTACAAAGGACACTTTTATTATGATTTGCTCCATTCTAATGAATCTCTTGCTAAATTTCTAGGTGCTCTTGGCGTGACACTTATGTAAAACGCATGTGGAAACTCAGCTGACCTTTCCTTAGCAGGCAGGAGGCTTAGAGATGTGTTGGGGTGACCATCTGCCCATTAAGACAGCACACAGGCAAAACATAACTTGTGCTGGGCCCCAAGGGTGACATCTGTGGCTTATTGAAGTCTTTGGCTCTGTAATGCATTTTTCCCTGCTCAAAGCTACCCATATCCTGGGTCACTTAGGGTTTAGAGACAGACTGGCTGTAGACTGGTAGGCCAGGAACCAGTCTGGTATGATGCAACATATTAGCAGATGCAAAAGCAGTTAGTAAAGTTTCCCTGTTAGTAAAGAACAAAAACTTACTGCTTTTTTTCTGAGAGTTAAAGAATGCCTTGTCTGTTGGTCTGTAGCTTACTCCCTTTTCCTGACTTTTAAATATAGTGCATGCTTGACAGCCTTATTGCTTAAACTGCTTTTACTTCAAGCTCTCCTCCACCTTTCATGTTGCCCTCTGGAGTATATTCTGCACAGGGCTGTTGCCACACAGCAGTCTTTCCTGGGTAATGGAAAATCCATCAGATGTTTCTTATCTCTTTCCTCTTGGTCTGCTTTAATCTATTACACTGCTCTCCTCAGCTATGGTCAGCAGTCATGCTCCCTGACTTACTCCAAATCCAGATATGCTGAAACCTGAGACTGTTCTTCCCTTTCTGTTCAGTTCCATCTTGGTGACAAATCTAATTGCATTACCTCTGCAGCTGCTATGATGTACTCCAGCTTTCACTTGCTTTTCAGTAACTTTGTTTTATGTTATTAACCACAGAAGCCGAGACTTTTGTTCTTTGTTTCCCCCCTGCTCCAGTTCTTCCTTTACTTGGGCTATTCTTCTAATAGTTATTCCATAAGAGAGAAAAGAACAATTTGGATTCACTTTCTTAAAGAAAAGTGTATAAAAGTGAACATACTTACACAGAAAACTTGCTAACTCTCTCAGGCAGGAGAAAGCAGCTCCAGTGTAACTGAGGAGGAAGACACTTTAAGTGGAGTAAGTGCCCTAGGCCCTGGATTTAGAGTTCACACAAGTTTGAGTGACTTCTGGAGATGTTGACTTCCTGCAACTGAGCGATCTGTGCTCTGCCTACTTTGAAAGGGTGGAAACAGTAATGTCGTGAGCTTTCTGTATCAGCCTCTTGGCCCGCTCCATTTGCAGCAGGCCTGGAACAAGTCCACAAGCCAGGCAGACCCAGAGGTCTGCTCTGTTCTGGCAGGCATAAGATAAGGAGGTGCTGAATGCAACTTAGTAATAATGCTGCCTCTACATAGCAGTAATATTTCCATGTGTCTCTGTTTAAATAGTCTGTTCCCTGAGAAAGACAAAAGTGTTTCCTCCCTGCGTCTGAGCCTGCACAACATCTTTTGTCAGGATGAGGGCAGACAGTTGACTGCTACCTGGGCCTGTGTTTAGACCAACACCATCTTACAAGGCTTGGAAAACATTCAGAAAGCAATCTAAAGAAACATTCGCAGCCACAGGAGCTGTTAAAGTAAACATCTTAAAATGGTTGCTGGAAAGGTTTAGACACTTATTGATAAATAACCTTTCTGGTGAATAACTGTGGCATGACCAGCCAAGTCCAAGTCTGGCATCAAATAGCAAGATTCATTATTGTTGAGGAAAAAGCACCTGACTCATAAAAGCATCGTTGTGATATAAAAGGTCTATCACTGGGGCAGTCATATGTTGAGGAGGATATGGTGTGGTGGATCTGTGTGACCCACTGTTTTCAAAGGCTATTCCGGGATGGTTGAATCCTCCAAACTCCTGGTGTGAGCAGGGAGCTGTGGGTGACTGCTCTGTGTTGACACCTGTAGCAAATTCCTACCCCTTCCACATGCTTCCTTCCTGGAAGCCTTTAAGTTCAACATCTTTCACTTCCTTTCTTTCATATAGAAACCTCCTAATGCAGGTAGTCTTACTGTGGATTTAGTTTTAGCTTCTCTCTCTGCTATAATCTGTACGTGAGGTGTCCTGTGTTGCCCCTTGTGTAGCATGTGTGTAACTGGCAGTCTAATGTCCAGTTGATTTGGAGAAAGCCACCAGGTTAAACCAATTGGTAAGAAAAACACTACCAGTAAGGAGTGAAGACAGCTCGTCTTCTGTGATACTGTGGGCTTCCAATAGGATCACTGATTTCCGTTAGCCAAAAACATGGTGATCTATAAACTTGAGATCCAGCTCCTCTGACAGTTGGTTCTTTGAGCCACATGGGATCAAAGGGGGAAGTACAGAGTATCAAAAGCTAGACATTGTGTCTGTTCAATGCCACTCGCCACACCTCCACTTGGAGTGACTAGGGAAGGTTTAGGCATCACAGCAAAGGAGGAATTGAGGAGAGTGAGCTGGTGGCAGAATTCTAGTCTAAGCTCCTGACAGATGTAAAGGGCAAAAAGGCAAAAGCCACTTTTGGGGGAAGTTATTAATTTTTTTACTTGTTCAGCGAATCATTCCCCAATCAAATAATTTTGCTGTACCTGATTGTCTACAGAACATAGTTCTAGAAAACAGTGGCATCTGCTGTCATGAGTATAAGGGTATATTCCCCAAATGAGTACACATAAGCAGAATTGAGTGATTTTTTAATGTGATATCAGAGTTTATGAATGCTTCCCAGCATCACTAACAAAATGGTTGTGTTTGCACCCTAGTGATAGCTGAATGTAATATTTTGTACTGCTTTATTGCAGCACCAAACACCCTTGCAGTAGTTGCCAAAATGGCGTGGAAGCCCTTGAATGGAAAAAGTGTTTGTCTGTGTTTCTGTGCCAGTCTAATGGTTCTTGTGTCATTCACACTTTCACAAGCAAAAGGAACTGAGTACAGTTCTATGTTTGCAATCCAGAAAACAAGTGGTGTCCTCTGTGCGCAGCTGCTCTCACAATGCCATTTCCATAGGTGTCTTGCCTTTGTTTATATTTTAAGCATAACTTATTGTTTCAGTGTGTAACTAATTCTCAGTTCTGGCTTGTTAGCTTCTTGAGCTTGCTCAATAATTACAAGGTTAGGTTTTTCCTTATAATCAGTATATTAGAAGTTTGGATCATGAGAATTAGCTGTGGCAGTGATTGGGAGTCACATGTTGCAAGCAAGGAGACATCACTTTTCACTTGGGTTCTGTTCCTGAATACTGCTGTTACAAGTGAACTCATGTAATAGAAGCTGCCTCTTTTTCTTTTTTTTTTTCTTCCTTCTGGAATTTGTTTATAGTGTGATAACTTGCTTAGAGAGGGTTAGAGCCCTATTGGGTTTGATATCATATGCAATAGACTGAATTCTCCAATGATCATGCAGCCTAACTAGGAGATGTAACAGCAATGATGTTGATCTGTCCTGCCACTGCAGCCTCCTTGGACAAGTTGTCTTCAGTTGTGCAACTTGTTTTGGGGTGTGTGTATATTTTTTTATTGGGTTTAAGGAAAGCCAATGGCAATTTGTGACAGTTCTAGGTGGTTCATATTGCTCAGGCTCAAGAAGCTAATTTGTTCCACTGTACTATATAAACTAAAACAAAATTTCTGCATCCCACCTAACCCATTCCTGGTGCTTGTAAATGCCATGTTTTGTTTTTGTTCCTCCCCCTCCCATCATTTTTTTTTTTCCATCCATGTTCCAAACTAGTTTCTAAGCGACGCAAGGCTCACCTGAGACGCCTGGACCGGCGATGGACGCTGGGCGGGATAGTCAACAGGCAGCAGAGTCGAGGTGAATTAATAGCTTCCTATGGCACCAGCCTCTAAGGGTGCACCAAAAGCCACATTGCAGCTTCGGCTGTTGTATGCCGGGGTCTGCATCTTCATTCCATCCATGTTCCAAACTAGTTTCTAAGCGACGCAAGGCTCACCTGAGACGCCTGGACCGGCGATGGACGCTGGGCGGGATAGTCAACAGGCAGCAGAGTCGAGGTGAATTAATAGCTTCCTATGGCACCAGCCTCTAAGGGTGCACCAAAAGCCACATTGCAGCTTCGGCTGTTGTATGCCGGGGTCTGCATCTTCATTACTCTGATAGAGAGAGGCTGAAGCTCCCAAGTTCAGATGATAATTTTGTGCATGACTGCTTGAGGGTGCTTTGGAGCCAGGGTTAGGCACCCCAAGAGCCGGAGACTAATAACTAAGGGTAACTCTGTAGTCTGACTCCTCGTGCTGCTTAGGGAAGCTCACATCTGTTGTGTTTTAACTTTGGGCATATTCATGCTCGTTCTTTCCTACCTCAATAAGGACAAGTGATACTTTTAGGGCTGTTAAGATGAGGAGAATGCCAAAAAGCCATGGTCAGAGTTGTGCGCACTGGAAAAGTGCTTGGTGTGGAAAGATGAGAATCGTTCCAGTTTCAATCCCCTCTCCTTCTTGCAAGTAGTGCTTGGTACTAAAGACAGACTTCTTGAGAACTTTTGGGAGCTTTTAGTGTCAGTCCTAGATGTTTAAAATGCCATTAGTAGCAGCATTTATTTTTTTTTACCTTTGCCGCTCTGACAGGGAGCGTGGGGGGTGAGGGACAGGGAACACCTTGTTCTGAAGCTGCATTTGGGTAAAGTCTGAGGAATCTTCCAAACCAAGCATTTCTCCAGTGCATGTGAATCATCTTTCCCAGAGTAAAGGTACTTTCTGTCCTCTTTTCCCCTTTTTTTGCAAGATTGTTCAGATATGGTATTCATTGCGCTTTATAAAGGGCTGGGGGGGAGCGCCATTTGCACCTCTCTGTAACTTTCAGACAACCTTACTGAGGGGATGGAACCAAATGTAAGCACAAGAGAAGCTTCCCAGTTAAGGACAAGGTGCCTTTTCCTACTAAGGAGAGAACGTACTTCTAAAGTAGCAAATTTATCTCCTCCTGGCTTTGGCAGTTTTGTATGCAGATTCACGTGTGTTTCAAGCACATACAACTTTTCAGTGACCTTTCACATTTGCCTCAAAGTATTGTTGAGGAAACTAAACTAACAAAAGGGGTGTTCTTCCTACTGTAGCTTGACCCTGCAGCAACTGGAACTACCCTCAGAAGATAAGGTCTTGCTTCTCAGCCACCAATTACACCCTGAAGGCACTAAAAATAACTCCCATAAGCATGCGTACTGGCTTGTGAAAAAGAACTTGTGCTTATTTCTATACTCCAAGAGTTTAGGAGCTACTTATTTTGTATTGTCAAATTCTGCCAGATAGTTCCTGGTAATTTAACTGGGAGAATTTCTGGCAATCAGTTTTCTAAACAATTTGTTTAATAACAAATGTATTCTTTCATATTCATACAATATTGCAAACAAAGCTCCATAAAATATTAAGACTGCATGATTGGTCCCTTAGCATAGTTGACTGGTAAGACTCAAGGACCTATGTTGCATTCCCAGGTTTTTCCTGCATGCACTCTTATGCCTACCATCTGTGTGCAGTTTCTCCAGACCTGCCCTCTGACCAGTGTCACAGTGTCTTCCCTGGCAGTCTTCCCCACCACAGGCTCCCCTAGTCTCTTCCATCCCTGCCTTTCTTGCTCTATAACGGTTTCTTCCCGATTAGGCCCAAGCAATGCTGGGTTTGTGTTGGAGAATATGTGCTTTATCTCAAACTAAATCTCAGCACTTGAACTTCCATGGCTGAGCTGAATTATCCAATTGCATTCTCCAATGCATTTCAGCCACAGCTAGCCAGGCTGACTGAAAATAAGTTGTTTAATGTCATCTGAAATGGTAGGTTAGGGAGCTCTTACAAGAGCAGGTTCACTGGAAGTAAAGAAAGTGATTTGAATACTTGGGGACAGGTTGGAGGCAGTGGCTTCATCGTCTGGCATAGCTGCAGCCTGTACAGACATCTAGCCCTTCCAAACTGCAGTTGTTGAAAGTATGAGTCTCTCTGGGTGTCCGGATCACTGCACTCTAACAGATGACAGTTTATGTGAGGTCAGGAGAGATTCTTTCTCCCTTCTTTCCCTCCACCCCAGCCCAGAAGACTTCTAACAAGGCCAAATTTGGGTGGGTTTGCACAGAAATGACAGAATGCATGAAGTGTACACATGCAACCCTTGCCAACCTTCAAGTCTCTGCTCCAAAGCACAGAAGGACTGAGCTGCTCAAACAGGAGATGTTCAGAGTTGTTCAACAGAGGCAGAACAGCTTCCCCTCCCCCACATGGCCTCGTTCTTGGAAATAAATTCAATTAAACATTTTGGCTGAAATTCTTTCCACCCAGTGATACTCTGCTTGAGATAGTCCCTGCTGTTGGAAAGGTTAGCTCCAAGAGTTCACTGGAGTTTAAAAGCAAGCTGTAAAGGATGCTTCCCTTTATATTTATGCTTGGGTACCACTAACAAGCATTTTTTACCAACTAGGTCTATGATAGAATCACTTAAAAGCCAGAACTGAAGGAATTAAGCGTTGTTTCTGAAGGCCAGGATTTTCTAAGTGACTTGGATATTAAAAATACTGGAAAAGCCTGAGTGCACAAGGGAAGGATGTTTCCTTCCCTGTTACAAACTGCCTAATGGGGGGAGGAATTATTAGGGGTAACATGTGGCTTATTTCTACCCTTTCCAAAGCCATTTGAAGAAGCTACGCATCCCTGAACTTCAGATATTTGGGAGAAATGTTACCAGATCTATGAATAAGAAAGATGAAAGACAAATTATTGAACATCATGGTAGTGCTTCTTTTTTAAAGCTGAAAAAAAAATCGGCAAAGAGAACAGCTGTAGTCTGTTTTTACAAAGAGAAACAGATGACGTTTGTTGCTGAACTACTCTTTAAAATGGTCCATGGTGTGCCCAGATCTAAGAGATTATGTTGGTTTATGTTTCTTATGTAGCTGCAGAGCTTGTTTTTTTAAATGTTAAATGTTTTTAAATGTGGTACACTTTCTAAACTTTTGTCTGTACATTACAAAACTCCAATAATACAAATATGGATTGTGAGGAGAAGGCTGAATGTTTGTGGTTTTCCTCAGTCCTGGCACTTGTTAGATCAGCAGGCTGTAGATTTCATATTCTCTGGTAGTGGGTAAAATGCTAATTCTACACATGCATCTATTTGGAACTTCGATTGGAAGAGGACTTAGGATTGTTTACAGGCTAATTTCATGAGAAGTCATTTGTGCTATTACAGTTTGATTGGGAAAAGTGGGGGTTTATATGCCAGATATTTGACAGAAGTTATTGCTGCTTTGGTTGTGTGCCCAACATTTTCAACTGGAGCCCTTACAACGCAGGAAAGTACTGCGTTATTCATATCAACAATACAGTGACACATGGCTGAATTTCTGCCAAATAAGCCTATTATTTAAGAGTAGCTGCTAGCACAAAAAACAAGCTATTCAATGAAAGAGTTAAGTTAGAACTTGGAAACTATAGGTCTTTCTACTGCTTCCCTAACTTATGGAGAGAGGGAGCTTGATGGGAAGAGATGGATGGGACATAAAGAGAAGGCAGCCATGTAACCCAGAGGTCGTGATACTTGAACCCCATCTTGAGTTGGTCATGATACTTGAAGCCCATCTACTAGCCTGGGTAGGTCATTCTGCAGCCAGTTTTCTAGGTGTGGAAGGAGCCCTTGATTGGTACTAGTAATTCAGCCTGTCTGGTGTGCTCATGCACTCTTACCCTTTCCAGCATCCCACCAGAGCCACTTTGCCCTCTTCAGCAGCCCCTTTACTACCTACGAGACTTCTCTCTTTGTTTTCACTTTTTCCCTGCTTGCCCTTGATGCTGGTGAAATGTTTGTCGCTCACAGCACAAGGCTGCTTTGCCATGCTAAATCAAACCAGCACAGAGCAACTTCAGAGTTTGTTAGGTTTGGGGTTCTCCCCCCCCCCCCGTGCTCCAAGGAAAGTTGTAAATGTTTATTGCCTGTTGCTGGTTGAAGAAAGAGCATGTGCAATACAGAACTGTTTAGAAGAAATGTCATTATTGTTCTTTTCTACCTGTTTGCATGAGGTTTTCTGTTACTTAAAAAAAAAAGTGAGGGGCGAGGGGACACAACACATGGGACAGACGAAGGCTGAAGAGCTCCTGTCTGCCAATGAACGCACTTGATAACTGTGGACAGTTATTTTCTCTGCTGAATATTTACACAAGTAAAACAAAGTCCATGTTGAATTAATGCATTGCTTTCTGGAACAGCGAGACTTTTTCCAGAAGCAGGTCTGACAAAAGGGGGTGGTGGAGCGGAGGAGTGGGGGAGGGCGAGCGCAGACTGCTGACTGAAGGGAAAGTATTTTGAAAGAAAATTCTTCTGTGGTTTGGAAGATGTAGCGTTGGGGCTGTTGCATTTTGCTGAGAAACTGTTAATTGGCTAATTTCTAGCTTAATTCCCCCCTATCCCTACTGGCATATCAAACAAGGATGGGGTCACAAAGTTGGGGGCATGTATGCCAGCTGAGCAAAAGGAAATTACTCCCTTAACTTGGTTGGCTCCTGAAGTGCTGCAGATAACTTCCACACTTATTTATCGAGGCAGAAAAGAGCAAACTTATAAAATATAGGTGAAAGAGGTATGCAAAACTGGGTGCTCAGAACGTGGAAGCAGAGATGTATGTGCACTGGCCACTTGCTTGGGAGAGGTGAGACTGATTATGCAGGGCTGGAAAAGTGCATGGTATTTTAGCAGCTCAAAGGCAAGGTTCCTGTCCTAAATAGTTTACAGCCTAAACAAAGAGAATGAGATCTGTGCATCAAAGGAGCCCAGGCAAGCGGCAATTTGGCATGCATCTTATTATGACCAAAAGGTTTTTCACAGTGGAAAGTGATATTTATTTGGTACT